TTGCTGAAATAACCCTCCTTCGCAAAAAAGTCCCTGCCCTGCCCGCCATGCACCCAAGGACTCGCCGGAGCAGAGCAGAGCCTTATTGCGCTTCTCCTTCCCTTTGCAACACAGCTGCCGAGTCATCAGTCGGCGGAAAGACCTATTAATCACCCCGAATGCCAACAGAGTGTGGCTTTAAGCATGTCAACTTCTGTCCAAGGCTTGCACCTACCTTAGCAAAGGTGTTTACATGTTGCAATCAGAGCAATTATGCAGAGAAACCTTGCTAAACAGAAAAATAAAGCCAGCTTTCAGCCCCAGCCTCTCTTTAGGTAACCTTCCCCAACCTCACTGATATCTTTAGATTGTCACGACTGCTGATGCTATTAAAAGAGCCTCCGAAACAGTGATGCATTTTATTTAATCATCAATGAAGAGGAAAAAAAAAATAACTACCTGAGAGTGTCCTAGTTTCACCAGCCGATAACTGGCAATACTGAAGGAAATTCCAAGCTTCTGGCAGGATGCAGCTGCTCTACTTTTCAGGCCAGTTTGCTTAACTACACTGAATGCTCGCTGCCAGCGGAGCCTACCCTGCTGTCAAAAACCACAGCAGGCGCAACCCGGTAAAGAAACTGGTTTGCACGGCAATTCCCCGATGCCCCAGTAAGCAGGGAATGAACACAAGTCGTTACAAGATGCCAAACCACGGTGTTTGGTCTTGGTCACGCAGCTACACAGGCCAACAGCCCACGGTAGCCTCCATCTACAAGGGAATAGTTATAAACCATTTTGGGAAGACAGACGTGGGTGGGAGGTTGAGTTTTCTACCAAACTCTGTACTGGGAGGTGGCGGGTGATTTGTAAGGACAACATCAGGCAGGGGTTTGACATGGCATTGAGCTGAAGGCCAGGTCACAGCTAGAGCCTCCCGTTGGGGGCAAACACATCCGCAGTTTCCTTCAAGAGGACTGGGAGGAAAATCCCATCCCAATGCTGCTCAGAGGACGGAGAAAACGTGCATCAGTTGCCTGCAAAGACACAAGAACGGCTGTCCGGGAACAGGCAGCAAGGAAACGGATATCCCAGCAAGGATGAAGACGTTGTAGAGCGGCTGGCGGCAAACAATGAAAGTCCAATTAAGGGGAAGGGGTTAGCTCATCGGCCTGCACCACACCAGAAGAGGTTATATCCGGCTATAGAAGAGTCTTTAAAACACTTTTTCAAACTCAAATAGTTACCCGCGCCTCCCCAGGGCCTCCTGGAAGCGGGGGACTGGAAGGAAGCCTCCTTAAATATCCCTTATTAAATACTTCAGCGTGTGGGGGAGAGTGAGGACAGGAAGACGAGGCGGACGGGGGAGGAAAGCCCACTCAAGAGCATCTCAACTCATTTCACTTAGTGTTCGGCGCCGCACAGCGACTACAAAGCCAGCTGCGACTCAGAACCACAGCGCTGAACCACTCAACTAGGGCGGTTGAGCTTGACAGCCCACAGTGGGGGGCACAAAAGTATGACGAGCCACACGGTAGCCACGAGGAAGGCTTCATTCTGCTCTCCCCTCTCTCCTTCCTGGCAGAGGAGAGATTGCTTTGACAAAAGCCACATTTCTACATTCCTGGTGGCTTTGCAGGACAGTCCTGGGGCTAAAGTCGCGGTCCATACATTGGACTATGAGATCCTGTAATTGCAAGGCGTCAGTTTGGCCTCAGCATCTGAAAAACACTCTGATTAACACAACTGTCACACTGACTCTGAGCGCTGCTGGACAGCTCTTCACGCCCTCACACATGCCAGACTTCCTCCGACTGCATCCTCTGATGCCAGAACCTGCAGCTTCCCCTACCAGAAAAAAAAAAAAAACAGCTCTCTAATTTGCTCAACATATGCAAACTTACTCGAAGGAATCCTTCAAACTCTGCCATCGTGACACCCCTCCCCAAACGAGCCCTTTACAGTCTCAGTTTCACTCCTTCCTACTCCTGTGCAGACCACATCTGGTAAAATACTCGGTATTTTCACCTCTCATCCCTCCGTAATTGCCAGCAGTCGCTAAGCGAACATGCATGGTCCTGGTTCATAAGCCACCGCACGCAGGCTCGACAGTTGCTCCGCGCCTGGGCAGCTAAAATATCCTCTAAGATATAACATCAGCGGCTGTTAGAACCACTATGTACTCTCCAAAACAAGAGGCTTCATCCACACGTAGAAATCCTGGCAGAATAATACAAAACAATCATCCCCACCAAATATACATGTATCACTCTCATCCCATCCAAACAACTGTTAGTCTTACACAATCCTCATAATTCCCGGCGCTGCTGAGGGGATTCCAGCTGCCTCCAGACATTCACTGAACTCTTGGGTAGAAAGTTTTCCTTTGTGTTCAAAGTGGATGGCCAGCATAAAAAAGCAGCTCCCCACCTCACACACACCTCTTGATGTATTAGAAGTTGTGTTTTCTTTTTAAACGCAGGGATTGACCCCATCTTTTCTCAGCGAAAGCCACAGCACTGCAAACTCTTGGTGTTTAATACTACTATGTTTGGAATTGAAGGTATAGAGGCATTGGAACGTGGAGAACATTGCCAATTCAAATGGGCAGCCCTTAATCACCCTGCAAAAACAACTCAAGATATTAGCAGCCTCACACAGCAATTCATGATGGGGATCACACTGCACGAATTTACAAGCTTGAGAAGCAGAAACACCTTGACATGGCTTATTCTTAACAAAAAAAAAATCCCTGCCGCTGCTCTCCACAGATCTGTTCATCTCCTGATGTCATTCTCTCTCCATTGCTATGTCACATTGTCACCGAGCTGTGTGGGTAATGAGATAAAATTAGGACCTGACTTAGAGGGCAAGTGCCAGAAGCGCTACGACAACCCAAAGGCACGAGCTCATAGGAGAGGCAATTAGACTTGGCATTCGAGGACATCACGCTGCACATACCCAGTAGCTGGGCAGGTCACACTGTACAAAAACCAGTTATTAATCTTCTTAGGAGGCTCTCCTAGCTTTCATTTCCCAAACAAACTCATTTATATAACCAAAAAATGAGCCTCATTTACACCCCCGTTCAAAACACCCTCCCCAAAGATGAGTAAAGAATCTCAACAAACTATTTTTAGTGCTATTATGTCTAGATGCTAAAAAGGATCCAAACAAACAGCATGAAGACAACACTGTTCTTTGACATTTAAGCTGCATTTGTAGATGAGGACGTAATGGAAACTGAACTCCAGCCCCATCACAGCCATCCTTCCTGCCCTTTAACCCTGAGAAAAACAGCAATGCATAAAAGGATCAATAAAATACCTCTTGGAAAGCAGTTAGACACAGACGCTAAGACACAAACCTTCTGCTTAGATCTGACACTCCTACGGCCTGTCATCCTAAATAAGAACCCCACCAATACAGCTGATAATTTGGCGATGTTATTGGCGAGTTGGAGATAGATGCTCCCCCCCAACACCCCAGAAACGTGCTCTTCGGGAAGGGATGCCCCTACGGAGGTCAGCTCTTATGGATCACATGGGGTCTAGGCACCATCCCAAGCAAATATGGTTCTCCGGCGTATTGCAAAGCACAAGCAGAGAGAGGCCCGAGTCAGCCCTAGCTGTTGCCTAAAGAACTCTGTTGGAATAACCGTAATGCGTCGGACACGTATAAAGAATGCTCCTGCACATCGTTGCCAGCAAAGACTCTCTAAATAGACTAAACAACAGCAGCTCCAAACTCTGCCGATACGGGCGAAAGGAATAACAAGATAACTGCTGGCTATTTTTTATTTCAAGTTTAGTGAGTAACCACAACTGAATGTTTGAAGGAGGGCAGAGACTTGGGCTTCCTACAGATCCCTTACGCAAGGAGGATATTTCCCCCTCTACCTCCAAAATTAGGTTACTTTGCAGAAATCGAGCGGAGATACCTACCAGCCCTCCTGCCAGAGCACAGGATAGTCACCGATAAAGGAAGCTGTGCCCTCTTAGATATTTGATATTTCAAACATGCAGCTCTAGAAAACCATTAACCACATTCTTTGATGTATTTACTGGCGATTACTCCCGAACACAACCTTCTACCCTTGCTCACTCAAATAATGTGTAAGATCAAACCCAGAAAGAGGGAATTTAGCCTAGAACTGCATCCTCCCACACCAAGGCTAAAAACAAAGCCTC